CAAAAGTGAAGTGAAACAGAGCTTGATTTAGTAGAGAGGGGAGTTCAAACCATGCCACTTAATTTCTCTAAGCTTCAGCTTCTTCATCTGTCTTATTCAGTTGTTTTTCAATCATGTCTGACTCTTTGTGACTGACCCCATTTGGAGTTTTCTTGGCAAAGATATTGGAGTGGTTTGCCATTTGCTTCTCCAGCTCATTTTACAGATGAGGAAACTGAGGCAAACAGGGTTAAGTGACTTGCCCAAGGTCACATAGCTCGTAAGTGTCCGAGGCTGCATTTGAACTCAGGAAGAGGAGGCTCCAGGCCCAGAACTCCACACACTGTGCCACCAAGGTGCCCTATTTGGTATGGTAGCAGGTTTTAAAATGCTATTCAGGGTTAGGTCTGAAAGACTGTGGGCAACATGTTGGTCTGCTGGGTCTAGTAGAATTTATTAGTTGAATTCACAAAATATTTTGAGGTCTATATTTGTAGTATAGGGATTTGTTGTCTGATGGTCCTTTTGATTCCATCCTGGATCTAAGCCACGACATAGGCTTCATCCAGAGGTAAATAGGATATCTATGACAAAAACCCACTTGTACAGGAGCTGGGAGCTTTCATTCACAAAGAAGATTCTACTGAGTATGAGCTGACAATAGTGATGATGGCAAAAGATTGTGACCTTCTGATGTATATAACTCTTACCAATAGGTCATATCTTGCTAGGTATTTGGTAGGTGTTAAATTTTTACAGCCTACAGTCATGTATTGCACGGTTTCCTTGCTTCATCTACATTGATCATTAAGTGTGGCTCATTAAATATAACCCTTCTGTCATTTCTGGTCATGATGGCCTAGTCCTGAATTGCCATCATAAACCACTCCATTTCTTTAAACAAGTCTAGACACTGAGTCATTTGTTTGACACTTATTTGTTGACCTTTCATTGGCTGGTTTCATTTAGCTATTGCCCGTGAAGGGCCTTTTGATTTTCATCTTTCATCTTAGCCATGCCATAGACTCCATTCTGAAGGAAACCGTTTTTAGTTACATTTGACAAATTCAATAGTGCATACCTGTTTTCACTCTTGACTATTGATTGGTGAAGTAATATCTGCTTGTTCTAAATGTATTTCTATGGTTTTTGGTCTTCTTTATCATGTGCCCTAAGAAGGTCTATCAATCCTCTTCCTTCTTTCTGGTGAGGAGGTGTAAGCTACTTTTTTTGGGGGGGGTTAGGCAATGGGGTTAAGTGACTTGCCCGGGGTCACACACCTAAGTTTTGTGTGTTTGAGGCCGGATTTGAGCTCAGTTCCTCCTGACTCCAAGGACAGAGCTCTATCCACTGTGCCACCTAACTGCCCCTGTAAGCTACTTTTTAAAAAAATTTTTTTTTTTGGTTTAGGCAATGGGATTAAGTGACTTGCCCACGATCACACAGCTATGAAGTGTTATGTGTCTGAGGCCGCATTTGAACTCAGGTCCTCCTGAATCCAGGGCTGGTGCTCTATCCACTGCACCACCTAGCTGCCCCTCCCCCCCAAACTACTTTTAAAAGGTACTTATGCTAGCTTAGAATGCTGGACCCCCTATTCTGTTAACATAGCATTATTATTATTATTATTATTATCATAGCAGAAGAAATGAAGATTATATGGGAATAAGTTGAGGAACAGACCTACACAGCAGTCCACAGAACATAAGATAAGAAGGATTGAAAGGATAGTGTTGTCTTCAGGCTATTTTTGTATGAATCCCATTACAAAGATGAGAAGAATGAGATAACAGGGATAATGGCAATAAATGAAAAGACTGGGTCTAATAGAGGCTTCCTCTGTACAACATATGGATTACTAAGGCACAACGAACTTTGGGATGAAAAGTAAATCTGCAATGGGCATTGGAAGACGTAGGATTCTTGACATGAATTTATTCATTGTTGACAAGATTTCAGCTTTGTAGAAACAGAAACAGGAACCAGAGCAGGACTTACAGGTCTTAAGGAGCAGGGAGATTCTATTCTAGTCCCTAATACCCCCTGAGGGGCCATGGTCAGGAGCTTATCGGTCTCCTAAACTGGGACAGGTTGTTTTGTTCCTTCTACCCAACGAGCTCTTGCAGGAAAGCACTCTTCACTGCCATGGTCATTCAGGTTTGTCTGCTTCTGATTCATTTAAAGACTGGGCAGGTCCACAAGCTACAGCCAGCTGGAGGAAAGGTGGAAAGAGGGTATACAGGTGAACAAGGGGGTTATGGCAAGGATATGAAGAGTCCAGCCTACTAACCTTCATTTCGTTGTTGGACAACACTTTGTTACCCTGCTAACTTATGGGTTTTTCCCCAGGTAGCTTTCTATAACAATAGTACTTACCTCTCAGGGTTGTTGTGAGGATTGAATGAAACAAAGTACATCAAGTGCTTTGCAAACTTTAAAGTGCTACAGAGTGAGAAAGCTATCTCCTTCCATTGCTGAGCTTCCAGAACCTAACACACATATGAGGGCAAGAAGCAGTGGGTAGTGAGGATGCTAAGTGCTACTGACTAGGGCTTCTTCCACTACCCCTGAGAGAGCTGCTGAGTGTCTTATGCCTATGGATGCTTGCAATAAAACTGTGTTTCTATTAACTGTCAATGATCTGTGTGTCTTCTTCATTGGGAAGCCTCCAACACCATCTTAACTCCTACAGCTACTCTGAGGACTAAGGCAGAGGTTGGCAGTAATTTTCTGGTGTAGAGCTCATGAGAGGGGGAAGAAACATTGCAAGTTAGGGTGAGAGGTAGAGGGAGCAGAAGGGGCTGAGGAAAATGGGAAGAAAGAAATAAGGTATGTTGGGCTTAAAGAGGGAGCTAAAAGCAAAAATGGTGAAAAAAGTGGAAAGAATCTGCGATTTTTGAGGGGTGAAGTGGGAGAGAGCAGGCAGGGATGGACTTCTGTTCTGCCTCTGCCACCAGCCTGCTATGTGACAATTGGTGACTAGGATCATAAACTTAAGACTGGGAAGGGAAACACCTCTTGACCTCAGCTTTTACATTTACAACATGAAAGGACTCACTTAGATCATCTTCACATTGGATTCTCATCCCAAGATTCTGTGATTTTGATTTATTTTGTTGAAGGATTTGGGGCAGAGGGAAAAGAGTGAGGAAATCTAAAGTGAAAAAAGAAAGTGGAAAGAAGGGTTGAGAGAGGTCATGTTAAGCAGGATTAAGAGACTGGAAAGCTGGAGAGGAAGAAAAAAGGGAAAAGGGAAGCAACAAGAAGAAAGAGAACAGGAGAAGCAAAAAATATTGGCTGAAACATCTTGAAAGAACAAGGTGATTGGGCTAAGAACTATAGGAATGGGAATAGAAATAGTTTTTATCTGTTTGTGAAAGATGAGAAAGAAGCCAGTGGAGAGCAACTTCGTTAGCAAAGCCACCTGTGCCATTTGTGAAGTGCAGCCTGCTGAATTGTGCAATATGTATTCCAGAAAGATCCCTCAGACTTAACATTTCAGACCCAGGGCTAACTACCAATTCCATGGGAACATATTGGGAGACTTAGCAGAAGTATGAAAGCCAGGAGTGGACAGGAGCCCTCTTCTGGGACCAGTGAACTGTCTGTCTTCCATTTATTTGCATCTCCTAAGGGCCTAGGACAACATTCTGTCTACTGAATGACTGTTTTTTGGAGGAGTGTGGGAGACTGAGGGTATGAGGAAGGAGGGGTGGAGGAGAAGAACAAGAAGTAAGAAGCGCAAAGACTAAAGGGTTTAGGGCAGAAGGGAAGAATGAAGAATGGGAGTCTAGTAGAGGAGAGTGGAAAATGATCCGACCTGCAGCCATGGTAGAAATGAATGAAAAGGCTAACAATAGGAGTGAAGTACAAATGGAGGGAAGGGAGACAGATGAAGATGAAGAGGAGTGGTCAGAGATGAAGAATGAGTGGGAGAGGTTGGGGCACTAGTGACGATGAGTGGGAGTAGGGAGAGAAGGGGAGAAATAGGGAGAAAGAGAGAGAGAGAGACACAGAGAGACAGAGACACACACAGAGACAGAGAGACAAAGACAGACACAGAGACAGAGAGAGACACACACAGAGAAAGGGAGAGAGACAAAGACAGAGAGAGACAAACATACAGAGACACACACACACACACACAGATAGAAACTGGGTAAGTTCAATAATGAGACTGCATTATGGAGAGGCAGAATGTCCAAGCAGCTATGATATGATTGTAGATTTAAGAGCTGGAATGAGCCTTAGAGTCTGTGTAGTCGAATCCTTTTTATTTTATGGATGAGAAATCTGAGGCCCCAGAGACATTTAAGTAAGTTGCCTCAAATCACACAGGTAGTAAGTGACAGAGGCGGAATATGAACCCAGGTCCTAAGACTCCAAAGCCGGTGATCACTCCCATGTACCACGCTGCCTCTGGTAGTACCTTTCTAAGAAGAGACGCTAGTGGAGGAGAGAGGGTGTGTGGTAAGGTGGGAGAGAAGGACTGGGGACAGGATCGTCCCTAGGGAGTTCTAGTGGTGGTAGTGGGTAAACCAGACTTCACCGTCAGCATCACCACCCACGCATTTTCCATCCCAGCCGAAGGTTACAAGGAACAGGATCGATCTTTAAGGAGAAAAGAAGCCTCTGAAGGGCAACCGGGGAAGGGGAGAAGCTACGAAGTCTCTTCTCTCATTGTAGCGGCGGTGGCTGAAACTGATGGATTGGAGCCTCGGGGCTTAAAAAAATCAACGGGAGTGGATCCACTTTCTTCTCCCGCCTCGGGCTGCCTCCCACAGTTTCTGCTCAGCCAAGCCATCAGCCTGGAGAGTAGGTGACGTCCTGGCCAGGGCCACCTCTCTATTTGCCATACCCTCCGGACGCCTCTGACTGGGGGCGGGAGGGGCTGGTGTGTGTGGGTAAGATGGAGGGGCGGGGGACCTGGCAGAAGGGGCGGACACGGGGAGGTGTCTCTGTCCCCATAAATGGACCTTTGGGGGCTGCGCTCTTCACACGCGGAGTGGTGGTGAGAGGCGCACCGTCGATATGCCCACGGTGTGCCAACTGAACCCGGTGTTGGCGGGCAGTGCGCTGCTGGTCGGCTTTGGGCTGTTTAGCCTGCTGCGCTCCAGCCCAGGAGGGTATGGCAAACGGGCTGAATGCCTGTTGCCCTTGGCCACCCAGTTGCCTGCCCGCATAGCCTGGTTCCTCCAGGAGCTCCCCTCTTTCGTGGTGCCCGCTGGGCTGCTTGCCTGGCAGGGCCCGCTCTTTGGCCCACCAGGGACCTTACTGCTTGGCCTTTTCTGCGGACATTACTTCCACAGGTACCCACCGCCTGCCCCTAGCTTTTCCACCTCTTTCCTCACCCTCCCTCAAGCAGTCCCAGGGTCTTGGATTGCGTCTTCACACCCGGGATTCCCCGGTTCCGGACGGCAAGTAGCCAAAGAGGGACGGAGGAGCTCAAGGAGGGGTCCTTTTCTATTCCCCGAGACTTGCGCGCAATCAGTTGGTCCATGGGGCTGAAGCATCCCAGGACAGAATGGAGCAGCCCTGGCTAGGCTGGCCAGAGGGCTGGAGAAGCAGTTCAGTAGCTCAGAAATGTCTGGCCCCGCCTTCCCACACCTGGCTTCTCAGAAGGAAATAAGCGCGGGAGCCGGGAGTCTTCTTAGGACTTTTCCCTCTTGGAAACTCAGCCGGAGGCAAAGCTGGAAGGAAGGCTGTATGGCTAGAGGATGGGGGGTGGGGAGGAGAAGAAGGGAAGGGAAGAGGGAGGGGGAAGGGAGGGGAGAAGAGAGAGAGAGAGAGAGAGAGAGAGAGAGAGAGAGAGAGAGAGAGAGAGAGAGAGAGAGAGAGAGAGAGAGAGAGAGAGAGAGAGAAACAGACATAGAGACACAGAGAGACAGAGAAAGGAACAGGGGTGGGGGCGAGAAAGAGGTAGAGATAGAGAGACAAAGAGAAAGAGAGGCAGAGAGAGGGTTGGCTAACGCTTTAACCGAAATGAAAACTGCCTGATGATGGCTCAGAGTCAGCCAGAGGCATTCTTTCCACTCTTAGCCTTCCTCACCGGTCTTTTTTAGAGAGTTTGGGTGGATGAGTGTATGGCTAAGAGAGACTCTTGGATCTGCCAGTCTAAGAGATTGTGAGCTGGAGTCCACCAAAAGGCACTCAGAAGTGATGGGACATAACTCGGGAAGAGACATACAGACCAGAGATTAAGGCTGGCTAGGGACCAGGACAGGGTTTCAGTGGTGGAGAGGAACTGTTGGCTGTAGTACCTGTGTACTTAGTTTTTAGTGTCTATTAGTGGGAAATGGTGAGCTATCACAAGCCAGGTCCACAGATAAGCTAAAATCCACCCACACTCTCGTTCACACACAAGTAAATCGGACTTTGTCCCAGAGGGAGATTTTGTCCCAGAGGGAGACTGTCCCCAGTAGATATAATACTACATCCCCTGTTCTATTGCCTTCCCACCCACCCCACTCCTTCCTCTCCTCCTGGTCTTCTGCCATCCAACAGAGAACAACCATCTTGGGCCAATACCACTAACATCTTATCTCATAGGTTGATTCAACACTTCTTAGTCAACATATTGTTGGTTGAATTCATGTGAATGTCGGGGTGGAAAAGCTTTTTGTCTCCACTCTCATATCTTTGGCATTTCATAGGCTCCATCTGGAAATCAACCACTTTCTGTTATAGTCAACAAATCTAGGAGCGTAGAACTATTGTCCAGCTTTACCCTTACTTTGTGGAGTGAGATCTGTTTGTTCCCAAAGTAATTCTATAAACTTTTAACCTGTTTATCACATTCTCTGAAAACATCTATCATTTATTTCACTTTTCTCCTTATGGAAGGGGAGGACATTCAGGTTTCTAAAACCACCCTGGGGTAATGGGTTCTTTATTCTGTTAGTATTTTATAGATTTTTATTTAGATAACTTATAGAGCTGTGCCAAAAGTACAGTAGCTGGGCAGCAAGATGACACAGTGAGCAGAGTGCTGGACTTGGAGTCAGGAAGATGAGTTCAAATCATGCCTCAGAAACTTATTAGCTATGTGATCCCTTTAATTAATTAATTAATTAACCTATCTGATCCCTTCCCATCCCCCCATTAATTAACCTATCTCAGTTTCCTCATCTGTTAAATAGGGATAATGATAGCACCTGCCTTCCAGGGCTGTTATGAAGATCAAATGAGGTAACATAAAAAGTACTTTGAAAGCCTTAAAGCTCTATATTAGAACTAGTTATTGTTGTTGTTGTTGTTGTTTTTCATATTATTATATCAAGACTCATATTGCATAGGTATTAATTGCTCTAAAAGTCTTTTTCCCAGGAGCATGTCATTTAGTCTCTTAAAATGTATAACCTTAGCTTTCTCCATGATAGCCAATCTTATATTCAATTGGTTTTTCTTGAAGAAGATTGATGTATTTCTAAGAATTGCCTTTGTCCTTTGATTCAATTTGATTCCTGTATTTAAGCCCAAAGATTTTAGTTTTTATTCTTCTTTAGTATGCATGAATAATTTTACTTTTATTTAGTTCAGATGGTATCCTGATATTACTGGAGAAAGTTTCCATGAGATGAAAGATCTGCTTTAATATGATTTAATTAATGGGGGGTAGCTAGGTGGCACAATGGATAGAGCACCAGCCCTGGAGTCAGGAGGACCTGAGTTCAAATCCAACCTCAGATACCCTAGGCAAGTCACATAAACCCCATTGTCTCAAGAAAAAAAAGATTTAATTAAGGTCATTATTATTACTATTATTATTTACATAGTGTGTATTTTCTTGTAAAAATTTCTTTCTTAACTCTATAGGACTTCATGTAAATTTTACCATATTTTATTTTTCTTCATATTAATCACTTTGTATGGTATGATATAATTCAATCATGTTCCTATGCCACAATTTGTCAAAGGTTTGTCCAATCACTAGAAGTATGGCTTATTTCTAGTTTTTTCCTATTATGAATAATGGTGCTAGAAATATTTTTATATCAATAGATAATGTATTTTCTTGTCTGTTAATGCCAAAAAGATTAATAAGGAGATCTTTCCTCTTAAAGTAAATAAAGATCAATATGGAGAGGGTGGTTTTCATTTTTATCTTTGCAATACAGAGCCTGACACATAGTAGGTGCTTAATAAATGCTTATTGAATTCATTTGATAATAGTGTAACTTCAGGTCACTGGTTTGACTTTTTTTAGGGAAGAGGAAATTAAATGACCAAAGAAATATTGTCAAATTTTGCAGAAACCTAAGAAAATGAACCATAAAGGTTATTAAATGAGCTAATTGAATCAACACTTATTAGGTGCCTACTATGTATAGCACTGTGTTGTTGTTCCCGAAGAGGACCAATGACATTAGGAAGGTGATGGCTTGACTTTCAAGTGAATTGAACTTAAGCGAGGCATAGCTGCGAAGTCATCAGCCCCACTTTCACCTCCAGAGTCATCAGCATCCAGTGGCAAGACGTAGGTCAAGGTGACTAGTGATAGTCCAGGATGCAGTGGGAGACCTTAGCCTTTTTAAGCTAAGGTCTTTTCCAGGTCTCAGTTTATTTGTGGCAACACCTACTCAGTAGTTAAAGACTAGGTAAGAATTGAGGTAAAAGGGGCAGCTAGGTGGCGCAGTGGAGAGAGCACCAGCCCTGGAGTCAGGAGGACCTGAGTTCAAATGTGACCTCAGACATGTAATACTCATTAGCTGTGTGACCCTGGGCAAGTCACTTAACTCCATTGCCCAGCCAAAAAAGAAAAAAAAAAGAATTGAGGTAAAAGATGGTTTACTTTGCCTTCACAAAACAATCCAGTACTATGTTAAATGCTGGGAAGAGCATCGTATATGAACTCACTTGAGTTTCACCACAATCTTATGAAGTACTTCTTACAGATGTTATTATTCCCATTTCACAGATGAAAAAACAGAAGCTAGAAAGGTTAAAGTAGCTTTGAACAAGGTCACACAGATAATGAAGGGGAAAGATGGGAGAAAAAAATGTATCAGTTAATCACTGCGTATATATACACACATACATATAAATACATGTACACATACATACATATACTTACATATAATCATGCTTATATATAGACACACATTCATATGAATATATGTAATACTGTGCTATACTTACACAGTACAGCATTACATAGATTCATATGAATGTATGTCTATATATAGGTATGATTATATATGTATACATATATATGTATATATGTGTATTTATATACATATATACTGTATATATGTGTATATATCTATATCTATATCTATATATATACAGTGTGTGTGTGTGTGTGTGTGTGTGTGTGTGTGTCCCTCTTTAACCCATTCCTGATAAGAGTGGGGTTCCAGAACTATCATCCTCTTCCCCCATCTAATTCCTCTGTGTTAGTTCTTCTTCTCACACCTCATTTGTATAAGATAATTACTCTTTTTACCTTTTCCTAAATGGCTTTACTTTTTAGAATCACATCATACTCAGGTCTACCCCAATCTTTCTTTTGAACTACTCAATTACTAATAACAATCTTAGACATATGTTTTACATTTTCTCATACAAAAGTAAACAGTCTGTCCTTATTGAGTCCCTTGTAATTTTTCTATCATATGTACCTTATATTTCTTGGATCTTGTATATCAAATTTTCTATTAGGTGTAGGGGTTTTTTTTACAATAAAATTCTGAAAGCCTGACAATGCATTGGATGTCCACTTTTTTCATTTAGGATTACGCTTAACTTTGCTGGGTATGATATTTTTGGCTGCAACCTCAGTTCTTTTACTCTTCAATATGTAGTATTCCAAGAACTGCAGTCTTTTATTTATTTATTTAGGCAATTGGGGTCAAGTGACTTGCCCAGGGTCACACAGCTAGTAAGTGTCAAGTGTTTGGTCTGAGGCTGGATTTGAACTCAAGTCCTCCTGACTTCAGGGCTGGTGTTCTATCCATTGCGCCACCTAGCTGCCCCTTACCTGCAGTCTTTTATTATTACCACTGTGTTAGGTCTTGTGTGATTCTAAATGTGGCACTGCCATATTTGAATTGTTTTTTTTTCTTGTTGCACATAATATTTTCTCCTTGAGCCGAGGGTTTCAGAATTTGACTATAATATTCTTGTAGGTTTTCCTCATAGGATCTCTTTCAGGTGGTGAATGGTGGATTTTTTTCTATTTCTACTTTCTCCTTTTGTTCTAATGCTTCAGGACAATTTTCTTTAATTATTTCTTATATTATTGTGTCAAGATTCTTTTTTTATTGTAGTTTTCAGGTAATCTGAATATTCTTATGTTTTTTCTTCTTGA